AAAGTTTTTGATAAACTTTTATAATAAGAAGCAAAATCAAGAAATTTATTTAGTTACTTAATAATAGTAAACCTTGAAAATTCTTTAACTTTCACAATTTTATTATAAAAATTATATACACTATTTAATTATAAAAATTGAATATTACAACTCTTAAGAATAATATCAATTTTATGTTTATCTAATTTATATTGGATAAATATTGTTCTAAAAATATTTATTTTGATATAAATATATTATCTGATATTTAAATTTTTAGATTGATTTGAAATAATTTGTGCCTTAATTTTTCTTTAAAAATAGGAGAGTTATTATATATATATATATACTCAATACTTTTTTATATTTTTGTAAAGTAGGTTTGATTTTTTAATGGATATGACTATAGTCTAAATTAATTGATAAATCAATTATAATTTTTGATTGAGCTTTTATATCTTCATTTGGAATAATATTTTTTAGGGAAATTGAATTTTCTATTGATAGAATTATGGATTTAGTTTATAGGGTTTTGGAAGTATGAAAAGGAAAAGAGTAATTTGTGAAAGTATCTTGTTAAAAATTTATTTGAATTTTTCTTTCAAGAAAAATACTAGGAAGTCCTTTTCTTTCCTTTAATTTTAAGTTTATATGTATAAAATATATTTCTTAAGAACAGCAGTCTTAATAAATATGATTAAATCTATATTTAGAATTTTTGTTAGAATATTATTTAATATCAAATATTTTATTGGTTTTGATATTTGATTAAATATATTTTATGCAATGAGAGAATTAAAAATAATTTAAGTAGTCTATGTTTTTTTTTTCTAATCCTACTTATTAACTATCTTAACAATTGTGTTAAGAATATAAAGTTCTTTTTTCTTTATAATTTATAATTTTCTATTTCTTTATTATTTTTATCATATATAAGAAAGAATAAATTGCCAATTTACTAATTTGTTATTTATTTACTCTTGTTTATTTATATTTTTGTAAGATTTGTAGAGTTAACTGTTTTGTGTTTTGATAAATCATGTTTATTTGAAGAAAGTATTAATTTTTTTTATTAAATTCTACTTGTTTATTGAATTTGTTATTAATCTTTCTTATTGTAATAAATTAATTCTTTTTATTTATAGACTTTTAACAAATTTTATTGTTTTGTTTTTTTATTATAAAAATTAATATACAGTATATATATTTATATAACTTGTTTTAATATTTAGTCAGATGTGGATAGAATTAGAATATTCTACTGTTCAATTCTTATAAGCCTCCAATACTCTTTTGAGCTTTGCAAACTTTGAGTTTTTCTAATTTATCAATAAAACTATTGTTTGAAAAGTTTCTTCTAATATCTAAAAAGATATAAATCAGCTAAAAACTTGAAAAGTTGATATTGGATTCTTATAAGCTTACTATAAATCAGCTTATTAATGTGTTTATTTTCTCTTATAAAAATAAAGCCAACTAAAGTAATGTGTTGTTTAAGATTTCTTTTAAACAATAAAGTAGTCCCTTAATGTTTGGCAAAGTATTATAATATATTGATTAATTTTTTTTAAAGTAATGAAGTGTTTTTAGTTAACTTTTTTTTTCAAAGAAATTATCAAAAAAGGAAATTTTTAGAAAAAAGAAAATTAGTGAACAAAGTTTTTTTTTAGAGATAATACAATAAGTTATTGAGCAAAAATATATTCAAATAAAATATTTATCTAATATATAAGTAGATTATTATATAATTTAAAAGATATAATATATTTATAATATAATTTTAAATATTATTTATTATAATATTTAAGATCTCTTTACTATTGAATAAATAAGATTTAAATATTTTTTTAATATAGTAGACTTTAAGTTTAAACTAATTTACTGATTAAGTTACTGTTTATAAGATTTTTTTTAATAATAAGAAAGGTATAAAATTAATATTAATCTGACTAAAAGCTCGAGATTAAACCTTCAAAAGTTTATTCTTAATTAGTTTTTCTAGAATTTTTTATAAAGAAAAAATATAAAGTATAAGTTGATTATTTTTATATTTATTTTATATATATTATTATTTTTTTTTGAGTATTCATAATTAGGCTAGATCATTAATTTATTAATAAATTGAAAATATAAATATATTTTTATTTGAACAGTATAATATATACTATAACTAAACTATTATTCTAATTTAACCAACTTATTATAAGTAAGTATAAAAGTTTTTAAGTTCAACCTTGAAGATAATAATTTTCTTTACAGTATCTTTGAGTAAAAACCCTCCTGGTTAGTCTACTGTATTATTGCCAGTAGGTTGTTACTGCCATATATTAAATCAAGCCACTAGAATATAGGAAACTACAAAAGGATGAATTGAAAAAAAAGATATAAAAGATATCTAAAAATGTTTAAATAAATAACAAGAGAATAAAAAAGTAAAAATTGAAAAAAAGATTTCCAGCTTTCTTTAAATATTTGCTTCTCAAGATCTCTTCTCAATAAAAAATATTTAATTGAAATATTCTTTTTTTTTCTGATCATTTGATAACTTATCCATTCTTGATCTTGATTTTCTTTTCATATATTATCTAAGAAAACTTATCACCTAATAGAAGCCTTTACTTCTAAGACTTGGTCACATCCTTCTTTGAGCAATACTTTTTTATTCATCTGCAGTAAAAAGGTAACTTATGATGAATTCCAGGTTCTTATATAATCTAGTAGAAATTGGATTATGTTGTTTCAATATAATACTTTTCAGAAGATATACCTAGTTAAAGGAATTTTACTGATATATATCTTTTATTATCCAAAAAGTCAGATTTTTTAACAATTATTTTGTCTTGTAATGGTAAAAAGATTTCAAACAGTGATAAAGATCCTTGTTGATTACAATATCTTTCAATAACTTTTAAGAAAATGTATTCTCAACTATAATCAAAGAGTTGAAACTTAGTATGAACTAGAGACTATTTAGTCTTTTTGCCTAACTGGAATAAAAAAAAAACCTTAGTTTTGAACTTTGCTTAATTAGAATTATAGAAAAGAAAAATCTTGGCTTAAACAAATAGCAACTTTTTTACTATCTGAGAACTTGTTGTTTGTATCTTATTGGCTTTATGGAACTTGATTTTTAGATTAATCTATTTGAAATAATAGGTAAAACAGAAACATCAATCAACTCTTTCAATTATCAAGAACATCATTGAAATATATGGATATAATCAATAAGAGTTTGTTTATATTTTATTACTAATGTGTTTCATGTTAACCAATCAGATGCCAGGTGATATTATACTACCAGAAATTCAGGGTCAAATTGAGATAAGCAAAATTTCTCAAAAAATTCATAAAAAACAATAAATACTTTAAGAGAGTACAAGACAGTATATAATAAGGTGAATAATAAACTTTTCCCTATCAACAAAATCTTTATTTCTTATTATTTTCAGTTCTATAAGGTGACACTCCACTTGTCAATTCTTTTATTTCCTAGAACTTTCTTGTCTTTAGTAAAAGAAGTGTATACTTAAATCTATTCAGGCTATTATAAGCCCAAGTTTTTATTCGAATGAGTTTATAAACAAGTAAAAAAGGGTAATAAAGATAAGTGGAAACAAGCTTTAAGTTGGTTTAATGAAAGTATAAAGATTTTATTAGTAAGAAAGTATAAAACTTTTTGCAAGTATCTTTTTGTGTATAATCTGAGGATTAGCAGAAAGAGTTTAAAAAAAATATTTATTTTATATACAGTATATTATTAAAAGATTATATATTTATTAAAGCTTAATAACAAGTTATATTTATTGAAATTGTATAAGTTCTTTTTTGTAATTGAGGTTGACTTCTTAATTTTCAAAAAAAATTTTCAAAAAATTGAAATCAATAGAGTTTTTATTTATTTATTTATTTATTATTTATTTTTTATATACAAGATTAAATAATTGTAATAATTACTAATAATCTAAAAAGTTTTTATTTAAAGCTTTCTAAAATAACAAGTTGTTTTTAATAATTTATTTAAAGATCGTAGTAATAAAATTTATAATATATATAATCATAAAATAATAAAGTTTATTAATGAATATATAATTGATAAACTATGTTTTGTTATAATTGTAAATTAAATAAAACAAATAAAAATAAAGTCACAAATATAATATTAAGATTTACATATATTATTTTTTTCATCTAATTTGAATTGTTATAAGGTTAATTGAATTTTTGAATCAATAGAGCTTCAATTATACTGTAACAGCATTATAAGTATTCAGTCAAAGCCTGGCCCAAAATATAGACAATATGGACCATTTTTTCTATATGTAAGAACATTGTCAACCTTTAGGAATAATACACAGTAAACAACAATACAATAAATAATGCCTCGCAGTTTCTAGAATCAACCTTTATTAATAATAATTAGTTCTTAAATACTTTTTAGGCCGATCGCGCCTGTATTAATTTACATGCTCAAATAGGTGTCGCGTTTCCTACTGAGACAACGTCGATGCTAAATCTAAACGAATGCTGAAATATAATTGTCTATTACTGTCTTTCACTAATTTAGGAAAGTCTAATTGATACCAAAAAAAGTAATTTTTGCCAATCTCCAAAAAAAAAGTTAATGAAATAATAAACATTGTGGAGCAGTCGAATCTAAAGTTTTTTAAAGAACAGGATAAGAAATGTACGTCTATGTATGCTGGTGTTGTGGAAAATATGAATTGTGCTAGTGATAATAATATCAGATAAAGGTGTTTTGTGGGAGAATCGATTCTAATACAATGTGCTATTTCAAAGTGACAAAATCCCTTATGTAGATAAAGAAATTAAAAAATAATAAAAATTCTCAGAATAAAATTTTAAAATGACGTGTGACCCAATGTCCAATATCCCGTTCAAAATGTTATTTAAAAACAAAGGATTGAGATGACTATCGATAGTTAAAAAGAAAGTTTGTGCCATATGTCTAAAAGTCCTTCAAATAAAAAAAAAGAAAAGAAAGTTTTCATTGTCCAAAAAATTTAACCTTCTACAGCCAGCCTCTTTTTAGGCTTTGGTGCACGTTTAGGTCGAGTTGACAAACTGTTAGCAGCTCTCCATTCAATAGGCAGGGCAAATCTAAAATCATCACGTGTAATTTCTTCAGGAAATTCCCAATATTGTTTCAAAGTGTTTACAACTTTCTGCAATGAAGTTACAGCAGCCTTTAAATATCCATAATTAGTATATCTCCTTTCATACTACGAACCCGCATATTGGCGTTAATATAAAAAGGATTAATCACCTGATTTGGTTTAATAGTGTTCAACCCGCCGATTAGATGATATTGCTCAATAGGAGATAATTCTGAACCAAGTAGAGCTGACAAGCACGCACAAGCCGATTCAGAAAGAGGCTCCAAAGCATATCCACCTAAAATAAAGACGATATAAATTATAGAAGTAATTTATTGTAATTAAATAAAAACGTATACAAACCTTCGAGGGCCAGTACAAGTTTTCCGTTAGCAAAACTTTTTAACATCTGCGTCATATATGCATATCCTATTATGTAAAGAAATTAATATCTGCTACAAGTATTATGTATGCGATGCAATATAATAATGAAATTAGAAATACCTCGGGGAGTTATTTTGTACCCACCAATCTAAACAATTAAAGACCCCATGATTTTATAAGGATCAGAACACTCAACGACAATGTTCGTATAATAAATTATGCTTACCCCGTCCTCATGTCCTTCAGCAGCGTCAAATCCGGCAGAAACAATAACGATGTCAGGATTATATTGTCGAGTAATAGGTAATACAATGTACTCGAAAGCAGCAACATACTCAGTATCACCCATAGCTTCGGGCTCTAATATTTATCAAATTTGTTACGAAAGAGAGATTTTATACGACAAACATATGTAAAAATGATCATTTACTGTCTCCATCGGCTGAAAATGTTATGTTAACGTTTTTTCCCAATCCTTCCCCAGAACCTAGGTCGGTTGTCGGACCAGTGTACGGATAAAACGAGCCGTTTTCATATCGGTGCAATGAAATATAAAGTACATCTCCTCGATCATAGAAAAGGTTTTGCGTTCCGTTACCATGGCTGCGTTATTAAAAAAATGCGATTAGCATTCTGCGAAGAAATCCTTAAAAAATAATTCGAATTATACTTACTGAATATCCCTAAGGTGGGTCATTAAGAATAACGGAGTTGAATACTTAATAAGGGATGCGAAAATATCACGCTGAATAATCTCTACTTACCAATCAACAATCAGGACTTTCTTAATAGTCTCCGAGTGATTCTTCAAGACCATGTTTGCGGCGATGCCTTATGTTGATTCGCGTGAATGAAGGAAAGGAATTCTGATAAAGCAAAATTCATAATTATATTTGATACTAACCAACATTATTAAAGTAACAGAAACCCCTATACAAAGTAAAAGTCAGTGTGATTATGGGATCAAACAGTTGCCGCAAAAAGTACCTACATCGCTTGATTATATTCGGCATGATGTCCTGGAGGTCGAACGACCGCAAAGCCATTAATAATCCTAATATATACAAAATAATAATATGGATTAGAAGATTAATTATCAAGGAGCATAAGTTGGTAAGAAACTCACTTTCCAGACGCAACGGCATCTACAATTTCGATCACCGAACCCGCGGCCATTCGTGCAGCATTTGGGGTTCCGAACGGATTATAAGTAGTATCACAGCTTATTCCCAATTCACCACAAAGCATCTTATCTTTAAGGCTCGCGGGAGTCCAAACTTTCTTTTCGTTTGTGGCTGTGTCGCCCTTTCCTATTGAGATTACGGCATCATTATTTGTATGAGGCATTATAAGCGGCTTTGAGGAGAAGTATGTGGCAACATGTCGGTCAAAGTGACATTCTTCTAACTCGTCCTTTGAAGCCATCCGTGTTCGCAGTCGCTTAACCTTGCGGAGAAGGCTGTTTTCATGATTACAAATTATTAAATATAATGTCCAGATAAATGAAATATGATCATGCATTAAAATGGAAACTACCCTTGCGATTCGAATTTGTTCATGATTTCGATGCATCGTTCAGGTTTCTCTGGATGCCGACTAAGTTGACGGTCTTCTAAGACACATGGGCAATCGTGCAATAGCATGGTGTCGTCAAAAATAACACCAGTATGCTGCCTGCTCCTACGTCCTTCTTCGCTTGAGTAAAAGGTCTTGTACAACTGCCAAGTTTTAGAGTCGTCCCTCCCGCCTGGTCCAAACACAGCTTCCTGAGTGTACGCCCTAATGTTGAGCTCGGTTACCATCTTTGCGTGTTCCGGACCCCACCCCTCAAAATGGACAAAGATCCGTTCTTGAAGTTGCGGATCTATAAGGGGAAACTTAGGCGAGTCTATATCTAAAATTCGCGCAGCAGCCAGGGTCCCGTCTTCCTTTAAACAGGCCACTCGGTCCCCTACATAGAAGACTCTCCCTTTGAGGGCCACGAAAGGAAGGTTTTTATTTTGTTGTTGTTGGTAGTTTCTAAACGATTTGTCGTTCCTAACATACTTGGAAATAGCTTCCGGAGGAGGTTGGGTTATGAGTACCACAACTTCGCTCCGAGGTGTGTCGAATGGCTTTAGGTGAATTCATAATGCAATAATTATTAGTATTCGCATTACGATGCTTATAAATTATAGTGAAACCGGCAAATTATCCGATAATGTGTTAGTCCTACGCATGCCACATGGACGTTTCAAAAACGAGTTTCGTAACATTTGAGGTTCGATAGAAGCATTTTTTACAGCGAACTTTTTAAAGAAAAGACATTTCGTATATACGGGGAGAACGAGGCATCCAATAGGTTTAGAATATTTACCATAGAAGCCTGTATGTCGTTAGCTTCGGCGGTTGGGGTTGGTGGCCAGAAGTCCACCGGGTCGTTAACCCCATATTCAGTTGGGCTATCAGGCCAAAAGTCCGGTGAGGGAGGGTTATTCTCGACCCTTTGTTGCTTTGTAGGAATTTCTATGGTGATTATTGAGTTCTTACGCTTCATGACGGATGCTACAACGAGAATTAGAAAGCAATATATGACTGATGATAGAATAGAACAGAACAAATGTAAAGTCATATAGTGAAGAATGAATTAGAAGAATTAGTCGAATATTTATCCTAAAAATTTGTGGCAAAATTACCAATCAGAAATGATGAAAACTTCACGGATGAAAGAATTTTATAGGATGACGAAACATACCACGTGGATTTACATAAACAGTTTATCCTTAATTATTATTATTATTATTTTTTTTTTTTGATATAGTACATGTGTACGTGCAATGGATCTATGAAGCATTTTCAGTGAATAGTGAAAGCTTAACTGTACTGTTTTTTTTTCAGCTCAAATCTGGATTGTCCAATCCAACTCTTTTAGTGCGGGACTACACAAAACGGAGTTTATACGTCATACTTTTTCGGAAAAATCTATTAAAGTAAATTTGATAAGAAGATCATACACCCTGAAGGAAACATTGGCGTTCTATAATTTGTTATAAGGAATGAGAGTCAAAAATTTGCACGAAGGGCATTACGTACGATGTGTACTAAATTCGCGCTCGACCGTTTCTAAGAAATCCTCCCTTTTAATAAATAATTTGCCGGTAATCTGGAATAGGGATGGTTTGGTCCCATTATGCACCCAATTAAATTCCGAGATACCTAAATGCTAGTTAAAGATTTGCGTTTTATAGTAATTTACCATTATGAAAATAGTATTATAATTAAAAATATTCTTCAAAAGAATTTAACTAATTACTAATAGGAAGTTTAATTATAATTTAAAGAATTGAATCGATAAAATTTATAAATAACAATTTATTATTATCATTATTATTTATTAAGCCAGATGGTAGCATGCATTTATTATATTAATATACTACTTAATATAGGTTATGCTTGAGTATTAAATTAAAAGAATAAGAAATTATATTAGAAAAAGAAAAAAAATATATAAAAGGAAATATAAAATGGCAATAAATATATACTGTATATATAAATAAAAATAAATAAATAAAATTCCAATACTTTTTAAAAAATCTAAATATATTTAAAACTTTATTTATTTATTTATTTATTTTTAACCTGCAGTCAAGTCAGCATGACATGTCTTTATTGTATATATACAAAGATATTTATAAGATATTTTGACTTTCATATAATAACTCACCTGTTATCAAAAAGCTATTTCTCTAGATACAACTTAGGAAATGATATTTTGCTTTTTTACTAACTTGAATAAATTCTCTAATTAATAAAATCATTACCTACAGATTATTATTGTAGATCATTCTAAATTCTATCTATAGTTAAAAATCAAGCCATTTAGTACCATAATAAACCCAATCCTTAATAATTTTCATATACTTCTTTTCTTCTTTTCTTTCAAAAGCTTTCTTCTCCAAATCTTCTAAAGATATTAAAAGTTCTTTCTGCTCTTATATAGTCTATATATTGGATCTATATCTAGGTTTTTTAGATCATTTATCCTTTTCAGTAATATTCTGCTTCTTTTCCCACTCTATTACTTTAATGCAACAACTGTTTCAGATATTCTTCTTGAAGTTTTTCCATATTTTATGACAAAGTTTATTAATTATCCTTTGTATGAATACTGGAGGAATTTTGAGTTGTACTTTAAAATAATTCTTTAAGAAAATAGTTTCATTTTCTTTTATATATTCACAAATAATATTGAAAAGACTTCTATCAGATTGCTGGATCTTGTTTAACCATCTACTTGTCCAATTATCAGTTATATAATAAACTTCTTTCTTATTTTTAATTTCTTTATAAATATAATAATTTATTTTCTTTTTTGCTTTTCACCATATGTCTTTTCTAGTTTTTTTAATAGCTGAATATTTGAAAAGATATTCTAATATCTTTTCTTAAAGTTCATATACTAGAAAAGTCATTATAATATAAATATCTAATTTCCTTTTCTTGAGTATCTACAATACTAGAAGTTTATTATAAGTTAAGTTAGTTAGAAAACTTTTGTTTTTATTAGCTTTGAAGAAGATATTAAAAATGTTGAATAGATTGAATTTATTTCAAAAGATTAATCAATCTATAATTTTATTCTTTTGGATCCATAGCTCTTGAATTCTTTTTTGTGCTATTCAGTCTTTTTTAATTCTTTTCCTATTAAATATTTTAATGAATTCTCCAATACTGATCTCTATTGTATATTTGCTCTATGTAGCTATTGTAAGGACTTTTCTTAACTCTAGTAGTTGATTCCAGATTATCAAATTCTCATGCCTAGCTTGTTTAATAAGTATATCTATCTAATTATTGAACTTTTTGATCCCATGAGACTTAACCTTTGTAATTTCCAAGGTAAAATATTTTTTTTATTAGATCTTTGATCTTACTCCATATTGGTCAATTGATAATCTTTGTCCATCTTCTTGTTAATATTTCTGTTTGTAAATTGATGGATTTCTATATCTTAATTGCAATATTACAATCAATGAATATTGAAACTATTGTGTTTTAAAAAGTAATGAATTATGTAGTAAAAATAGTCAATATTTCTACTTTAGCTGCTAATAGTTATATCAATGTCCTTATTGAGAATTGTTTTTCAACTCTGCTATCCTTTATTAGAATCCAAGCAAAACTCATTTCAAGTTCACCATCTTTTGTTCATTTTTTATAGGAGCTATCTGTATAAAAAGTGGACTAATTAGTCATACTTCTTCTATTGTATTACAAGATATCTGTAATTTTCTCTATATGTTCATTTGATTTGATAGTTTGTCTTATTAGTATGGCTTTCCAGTTTTCTACCTGAATTTCTATTTTTATAGATCTGAAAATAGGTAAAATTGATATTTGTTGCCTTGTAATTATTTGTCAAGCCATGAGATTGCTTGACAAGAGAACTTGTTTTCCCTTTTTCAGATTTTTATGTCTATTTAGTTGTAGAAAGAGGTAAATTTGAGATGAAACTACTTCTAATGCTTGAAATGATCTATCTGATTGAAATAAAATATAGTTTTTAGTAAGGTCATATGATAATTGATATAGGATGAACTGGATTTTATTATTTGAAAATGATATCTTTTATAGTATATTAGTTGAAGAGCTTAAGTAAACTACCCAATAGGCTTTTTTCATATCTGAATATACTGGAAATATTTCAATTTGTATATTATAGTTTGTCCAATCTAGTTTATGTAATGATTTTCTTAAGTGATCTTGATTCACTGACACCTTTTTACAGATCTTTTTGTATCAAGAGGGGATTAATTCTTTGCACTTGTTAAAAAGAATCTGAATTGCTCTCCATTCCTTGAGTATTATCATAGTTGTATTTATAATTTGATCTAGAAACATGATTTTATGTTTATGTAGTGATGGAATAGATTTCTCATATTCTCTATTATTTTTTAGAATTGATTTGATAAATAAAATATCTTTCTGATAATTAAAGATTTTTATCTATCTTCAATTTTGAAACATAATCTATAGGTCTTTGGTCAGAATTAATATTGCAGCTACCAGATTGTTTTAAATTAGCTTGTGTAAGTCTATAGGATTATTAAATATATTTCTAGATTTTTAGCCTTTAATCTGGCTCTGTTTCAATTAGATTATAGTTGCTATACTAGAGGCTTCACTATTGTTAAGTTGGCAGAATAATACTGATATATGGTTTTCTAACTATATTTCTCAAATACTCTTAAGACCATATATTTCTTTGTTGTGGATGCAACTGTTTGGAATTATTCTATATATTAAAGCTTTATTCTTAAAACCTTCCTAAATATAGCTGTTAGGTCATCACATATCTTCTTATTTAGGTGTATATATTGCATTCTATATTTTATTCTTGGAATTAAAACTCTATTGATAACATATCGAACATATTTTTCTATCAACTTCTTTTTAGTTATTGCCTAAACTACTATTCTGATTTCTGATTTTATTAATCTAATTATATCCTGGTTCTTCTGTTTTGGTTCTAACCAAATACCAAGAAATCTAATCTAATTTTTTTTGTTAATCTCATGAACTATTGTATTCTCTATTCTAGCTTAAACCATTTCAAGGTCTTGAGGATTTTGATTGATACTAATAAAAATTAACTTTGTCACATTAATTTCTAAATCATTTGCTATGTAGAACTTTTTTGTTTCTTCTAAAATACTTTTCAAGTCTTTTTTTTGATTTAGTGATCCAAGTCATATTATTTATATAGATGATTACTGCCTCCTTTAAAGAGAGCTTGATTTTTTTCTCAGGTTTATAAAAATTGAATAATCATTCTTCTCTATAATATAATCCACTGTAGTGTTATTTTGGATTTTATATAGTAATAGATTATAAAAAATTCTCCATAACAATGAAAATATTATTTCTTCTTGATCTATACTATCTCTTGCAACTATTGAATTAGAGAGTCCATTGGGAAGAATAATACTACAACTTCTATCTTTGAAGAGATCTATTATAATCTTTTTAATAGTTATTGAAATTTGAATCTGATTTATGGCTTTTTTAAGTATAAAAAGAGATATTGTGTTATATACCTTAGCAATATCTTGAAAAAGAATCCATGTTTCTTTTTTCTTTTTTCTTACTTCTTTACAAATATTATTCAATAGATGGATAGGTTCTATCGTACTTTCTTCTAATAGACCAGAAAAATTTGAACCTTTAAAGATTTTGTATTGTTTACATGTTATTGATAAATAATTAGTAAGAATCTTAGTAAAACATTTCTGAGTAGTTTCAAGAAGAAAAATAGGTCTTATGTTATTCAATTGACATCTCTAGGGCTTGGATTTAGAGATAGAATAAATATTATTACTTTTCTATTTCTTAGATATTCGTCTAGTACTTAAAACTTTGTTAAACAGTAAGCATAAGATCCCTTTTCCTTTGATATCTATGTGTTTGAGCATTTTATAACTAATATATGAGAAACCAGCTACTTTTTTATTTGGAATGTATTGCAAAGTAGCTTTGAGTCCTTCCATTTTGATTTTCTTTATTAG